ATATATTGTTGGAGAGTGAAATTGGATGTATGAAATGATCTGTTTAGGTTGACAATACCAGCTATTATATCATTGGTTTGGAGTTACTATGTTGGAACGAGATTTGATAGTAATAATCGCAAAGCCCATCAGTTCACAGCCTTCCTTAACAGTTACTTATTTTTCCCCTGTAATGTGAAGCTATTGTTTCTCGAGCTGATTTCTTGGTTAACATGCCGTTCGATGTTCTCATACCCATTAAAGCAGGACATCTTCATACAACGTACAATTACCTCAACCAGAAGCCGATATCAGAATGCGAGAGTTTCAATAAAATTGTACTCATATTCCCTTTTGGCTTCAAAACTTCAAAAGCGTAACCATTATACTTCGAATACATTTTCCCGTTATATCTTTTCGTTTTTTTTTAGTTGTTATTATTATTAAACTCTACGGTTTTACTTGCCTCCTGTTGTGCTTGACTGGTCCGACAAAGTTGTACAACTGGTGAAACAGCCCTGCACATGGCCGTCGGTCCATGATAGTAGCGAAAGCACGAAGACACTACCTGGTCACGGTGGTGGTCCGCTGCGCCATCAGTGGTAGCATCTGGCGAGCAATTGGCGAAGTTATTAAAGACAGTCTCTCCGAGTGGCCACAAAACTCCACCACGGCCTGTAAGTGTCTGCTTGCCGGAGGCATGACCCTTGTTGATCTCCTTCTTGTCCAGGTACTTTTGCGGGTCAGTCTCATCTGCAAGTGGTAAAAGAAAGAGCAATAACGTGGTATTGGTAACCACAATTATAATATTAACAGAACAACTACGACATTATCGAGTGGTTCTTGCGCGGCAAAATGAAAAATGCATATTGTTTACGAGTTGAACTCTTTATGATATCGAATCTATAAGTAGGGCCAGCACAGCCGACTTCTTTACCTTTTCTAGCACTCATATATATTCTGAGATGGCTAGCGTCTTCTATGCGTACGGCATTTCTGCGGTTATTGAAACGAGCAATATCACTCCCCTTCTCGAGGGTACAAGGTTCGACCCTAACAAAGCACGGTGATGGTGGTGGCGTTGTCGAGACAACGGTATATTCTTCCGTTATTGAGACATCATTAAAACACCCTTTTTGACGATGTACCTCACATTGTTCACTATTGTTACTGCTCTGGTTGACGAATCTCGCTATCGGCTTTTTTATAAGATAGTGCTCAATCTGAGACCTTCGCCGACGGAACGCGTTACTCCGTCGTAGTCGATACTTAGACATCAGCAAGGGAGCTGTTAGTCGCCGGTTTTCTTCGATTTCCATAATTTGTTCCCTTGTCCATTAAGGGAAAACCTAAATTATTTTCATGAACGAATCAAACGTTTCACATTCGGTACCATTCCATTGTTATTAACTAGAGGCACTAAAGTCTCAGCTTTTACCAGGCCACAATTATTTTCAGCACCACAATCTGCGCTGTTCCGTTGACACACATATTTACTGGATAATTTCATCCTCATCTAAAATTAACACAGAGACAACTTTGTCTTCGCCTGCAGACACTGGCCGCGAGTCGTTTGCGCGGACTCGCGCACCTGCCAGACATCTTCATTATCACCAGCTGGGCAAATCCTGCTGCTGACTGTCGCTGCCAGCAGTGTAGCTTCCAACTCTATGGAGTCGTTCCTATCACGAGTGACTACTATGGCTACGATGATTTTGTTCGCTGGTCTCCATTCAACGTTTGCAGTAAAACTGTTCTCCGCCCGTGGCGTTGTTCTGTTTGTGCTACTTTTAGGCTCCCTCTGCACTCCATTTCAGTTGTCGGCGCCTACGTTGTGACCGCTGCCTGGTGTGTTACCGCGACCGGCTGCTTGGTATCATCTACGGCTGCTGCTGCCTCAAGCTGCTAATCACGGCAGCAGCATCACTACCCTCTCCTACGAGACGATATGCACCCCCTAACGTCTATCAATGAACACCAGCATGGGCGTTAGCCGAAAAATTCAACGGCAAAGCGGCCGAGCAGGACAGAATGCTGGCCGACGCGGCTGCATGCACCGTTGCTGTTACGGCATGTTATGTCGGCCCTTCTTCGGCACAGCTCTCCATAGATATTCTCTAGAGAGTATCCGTTCCGCTCACAGGTGTTGACTGTCTTGGCCATGCTGGCGCTGCTGATAGTAGCAATGCCAATGGTGTCGGTCGCACTTAACCCAAAACAGACAAACCAACGGATCTATAAACCAGTGAACAGCGGGTTTTTCTACAGTCCTGTCCATCTGCCAGTAAAGCCTATAACTGTCATATGGGGACCCCCCAATTTTCACAATTTCATTTTTTACATTTTCAATTTTTTCAGTCGAAGGGATCACCACGAATGAAGGGTGGGGCAACGACCACAGTCATTCAAATCTGTTTTTTCGGTGGCGACAACTAGCCGATTAGTAACACAACGTTTTGATTTTCGAGTAGTCTACTGGTAGAATATTTCTCTGATACAAGGCAGTTCAGCAAACGTTTTCGGGTTCCGCAACGCTTTACAATTCGATCAGCGCGTGTAACTATGGTTGCTCGTCCTCTGTTGAGATTAGGCTGAGCTAACGGTAACAAACGCTGTCGCTCGTACGTTTGCGATTTTGACAAAGGCGATCACATTGATACTGAAGAAATGAGGCCACCGCCACCACGTAGATATTGGGTTAACGGGAACGGTCGATAGATCCATATTTAGATATTTCTGTATTTACAACACTGCTTGTAAGGATTGCATCAGTAGCAGAGCGATGTGCTGTTTGATTTAGAAAGGCTATTTACAGTCCTCTGGAAATTTTCCATATCAAGAAGTTTCTTTTAGTATCTACGACTTTCTAGTGTTCAACCTCAGCCAGTGTGAAATTTAGATTACGCGTTTCATATCTAAATAGCTCAATAAATCATGACGATAAGGTATAGTAGTAGTTACTAACGAAAACTGTGCTAGGCCATACGGCCACTGTTTTGTAGATGATGTACCCTCGGCCCACTACACGATGTTTTACGTAATATTGGGTATCCATATTGGACATACTGTGCCGGACATTTCATGTAAAACTATTGTACATAGAGATTTTGAGAGCGCTAAATACCTAAGCATGTTTCGGAACTTCCGAAGGCAACAGAATCTTAATTTTTACATTTTGCTATTATCAAAGTATTCTAGTGCCATTGTGTTTGACAAGCATGAGCGCTACTTTTCTGGGAGCTCCCCATCTATGTCAGGGGCATTTTAAAGATCTTGTTGCTACGAAACCACGCCGAAGAAGACCTGTAGCACTCGCTTACAAAATCCATGGAGAGCACGACATTGAACCGTCAGCTATAGCTACGATAGCTGCACCGACTTAGGGCAGGTCCTCATTTTCCCTCTGATAAGGAACGCCTGGTATATTTATACGAGCCTCTGCTTATTTCACAGTCTCTATAATACAAATTTCACTGTTTAGCTTCTATAATCAACGATAGTTTCAAATTATCTATGGTATACTGCTGTGAATAACAGTAGGAAACGCGTTCTTACACTTTGTTACACTTAATGGAAATACCGTCTGAATAATGGGGAGGTTTACGCCCTTACAAAACAACATCCAAGGCTAAAATGGAAACGCTCCTTTTAGAGAATGTCTCTTTATAAGTGGTACTAGTTGGTAATCAATAATGAAATTAACCCTAACCGTCATCTATAAAAATAGCTGCTGATGTTAAGAGACACGGTAGACCTCCAAAAATCAGAATAGTATGAAATGGGATATTATCGTTTCAGCCTTTCTTGAGACGTTGAACATGGGTATGAATTTGCCAGCAACAATAACCAGAGCTAGCAGTAGCTTTATAACTCCCGCTCATTCTATTTACTGCGTTTACCCGACCTAAATGGACTCAAGCATTCTGCTGAACGGAAAAGGGTAGATATTTATAAGGCCAATTGTCACAGTGAACAGAGGGTTCAGGTAGCACCAACCCACTAGCGTTCTTCATACACACGAAACGTCACCTTCGACCATATCAGTTAGTTGTCTTTTGCGGCTGCTGTTCCCTCGAAGTTAACTCCAGCCTCAAGCCTCAAAGGTCCCTCATCAGCCAATCTGGCCTTCATAAGTCGAAGACACTATGCCCGTTTAGCTCAATTCTGCTGTTATCCCGCATCATCTGCTGCTAATACGTTTAACACCAACAGCCGTCGGCGCTCAAAAAGCTTTCCCTTTACGAGACGGATGACAATCAGACCTTAAAGCACGATGAGGCACGAACATTAACACAAAGCATCAGTCGCAAGTGCTAATGGAAGCGGTGTGTATCCTGGGGCGAGGCCATAGACGGATGTCATACGTAGTATCACACAAGCTTAGCTATAACACCCCTCTTTTCTGTTTTTCCTCTTGCTTTCCACAGAACCAGGCATTCTGCAGTAAATGAGTGTCTTCTGTTTGTTTATATCAATTTCGTACAGGTTACCTAAATTAATTTTATCGACAGGAAGACGCAACGCCGTTGAGCAGTAGTAGCATACAAAGGTTTTGCTCTTCTTCAGTCTTCTTTGCTTGAATAGTCATTAGTACCAAATGGATCGGCCTTAGATCTGAGCTAACCACATCGATTATACAAAAATTGCTTGTGTATTTAAACGTCACGTTCGATAGTTTAAATCACGCAAATACTGTGGTCGTTCGTGTTTCATTTGTTGAAATGCTTCCGTTCTATGGTTTGGCACTGTTATTTTATATGTTGGTAAGTACTTCTAGTTAATTCTTACCTGTACGATAGAGACCAATCCAGTCCAACGGATGTACGTCTTCTCGTATATCCCAGCTTACCAAAAGAGGCTCCTTTTGTCCCAGTACAAACTCTTCGGCAGATACAACGAGGCTTGAGCGTGAATGCAGTTTTAGCCTGGAAGCGAGAAACATGGAGTGCGTGGTTAGTCGTGAAATTGCCGGGAGTATTTCTTGGTCTTGCAGTAACGACAGACCTTCATCCTCCAATACATATTCCCAACAATTTTCGAGTGAAGATGTTTTACCAGATTATACCAGATTATTGTATTTCTAATTTGCACGTTCTCAAAAAAATTTAGAAAAATCCTCCCAATGTCTAAATATAGATATCAAAACACACTTTGTTTGCCAAAGCGAATCCATTTGTGTTGATATCGTAAAGACCTGCGCGTGAAAATACTTCATTCATAGAACTTGACGTACAGTGTATGGCTCTCACAGAAATACCCGCGCTGATCTAGCAAAACAATGCTATCCTAGACTGAAAGAAGAACACTCATTGATGCAACATTGTGTATTGCTGAATTAATCCAAAATATCTTTGCTCTTACCAATGCTTGGGATAATTACAGTCTAATACCCTTATCTAGTTATAGTTAGTATATATATAGTTAGCCTATAGTTTGTGTTTTGGAGTTAATTTTCTGAAACACTCGTTAACAAATGCGGCCTAAATTGAGAATTTTCCTTAGGCTTTGACTTTCAAAACGTATCTATGGAAAATAGATATTTTAACAAAATATGTTCGGTCTAGGCGTCATTCCTGGTAATCATTCTATTAATTATGACCGCCAACTATCAATTTAAGGTCTACACAGCTAATTAGTAATTTTGAAAATGTTCCTCCCAAATGATTTTTTTTTATTGTAACGATACGAAGCTGATAACAACACTGATAACAACAGCTGATAACAAACAAAACTGTCGTTCGAGTAGGCTACAAAAAGAAAATACAAACAAAGCTAAATTTTAAGTTTGTAGCAGGCCAAAGGTGCCAAGAATGCAAGGTCTCAAAACGGGCAAAAAATTAAAAGGTGCAAAAGGCCACTTGCAATTCGATATTATTCTCTCTGCTAAAAAAAAAAAAAGCTATCGTTAAAAGGGGGGAGAAAGGGTTGTCTAGCTTTGTGTGAGCCTATTTGTGATAATAGATTTGAGAGAAATACAGAAGAGTAATTATTTATAAATAAACAATGTGCGCTCCTTTAATACCGTATGCGTCCGTACCATACAACTGCGAGCATTGGGCTTTTTCCACTTGACAAGATGGTTACCGAAGTAGCAATGTTGACTTGAGCTATTTCCGCGTAATACTATGTTGTTCTTTTAGTTTGACCAAAAGCTATTTTAGTCAAAACGGAAATTCACCCATTATCAGGTTTCTATGCATAAGGATGAAGGCATTTTGGCTAGAATAGAGAAAATTACGTTTTTTTTTTTCTTATTTTCATAGTAGATAGTACAGTCAAATGCTTTGTTATGTTATTCTGAAATTGTTACTGAATTTTCAATTCAAGTTTGACAAATATCGTTTTTTACGCTCTATACGAATTGAGAAACACCCAGACCTCTTTGGGCGGAAGGCAGACGCTGCCAAAATGCAAGCAAATCAAGAGGATCCAGCAGATATATGCCACCGAAGATCAAATAAAAGATACTTAGGCTTACTTATACCCTTTTGCAAGAAAGCTCTTGAAATGTATATCTGTCGTTCTTTTTTGCATCTCAGATACTTTACATTCCTTCTTTAGCATTTTCACTTTCCATTTTCCCAAACGATGCCCGTACATAGTGCAGGAGTCACATTGAGCAAGTTTCCAATAAAGGCATCCTTTAGAGTTATGCGTTCATTATGGTTTGATGTGGTCCGGTCGCATGTGATGCAGCGGCACAGTCCACTGCCTGGTCACGCTTCGTTCTACATTACTGAGAGTGCAACTAGAGTTTTTTGCTTCACAGTCACACGGAACGTATTAAACAAAGTGACTGCAGGCAAGAAAGGAAAATATCATTATTGTCAAGGGGTCGGCTCCGACGTTCAGCGCCAGCCCGACTAAATCGTGTCACAATCACGTTTAGCAGTTGGGTCTATTACTAGATACGAAGATATTAGAAGATAGTGATCCGAACAGAAAACCTGTCAGAAGTTAGTACCGGGCGCTGAGTTATATATGAGATTAAAGAAAACGTCAAGGGAATGACTATACGATATTACTCGTTTCGGTAATGAATGCATTGATCATCTAAAGGACGTTAAAAACGCGATGTTATTATGTAACGGATGGTACCCGCCAAACGCGATTGATGTAGTGTTAGTTAGCTAAAGTTCGCCGTATATTTAGCTGAAGTTCGCCGTTGCGCTAGACCAGTGACAACTCCTCTTAGTAGACGTCACCTTATTTCGGACTCACTTTGTGTCGAAAGCTTGGTCAAATCTAACTAGCAATCACTGTTGAAATATTGGTGCTTACGATTAATACCTAAGAGATTTAACGCGGGTTAGGAGTTACGAAACGATGTTGTTACGAATCAACTCAAAGAACTGGACGCTCAGCAGCATAAACCGGTTTGTACTAAATAATCGCCTGATGATAGGGTAAGGGGGCGCTCTCACGTTGACCCGCGTTTGCGTGTGGATGGACATTCAGTGATTGATTGCACAGAAATAATTTTTTATTGGCTTGCAAAAGTCTACGCCCCCTCGATTTCCGCAGTTGGAGCGAACGGTAGCTACTGAAATTTACGGCTCTGCATAACCCAGCAAACGGTATTTGTAGATTACTTTGAACTCGCTTTTGGCATATGACGCACTCACCGCCGATTATATAGATACCTCGAACTGACGTCAAATAGCGGAACACTCAACAGATTTGATAACACGTTCTGCAAGACTTTAGGCAGCCAACCACGAAGTGCCCCTTATATGGCAATGTTAAGGCCTCAAGTCATATATAAAACGAAAACTAGGCTCGTCTTTGAGTTTTCTATTTCTCACGCAAGTGCTTTAACACCATAAACGTAACATAAGTTCACGCAGCAGTAATTTAGGCATTCAGAGGGGGTCGCTGATATAACTTTCACTTCTACTGACAACAAAAGAAGCGTAGGAACAAACACCCTAGGTGTATATTCGTGTGTCTCAGGACAAGCCTACAGTTCGTATCGTTATAATCACTTGGTGCTTTCCTATGATATACAAATGGCGCTTGTCAGCTCTGGACTGGCGAACAATAATGGCCACAGTCCGAAATTCCACGCTATAGATGCAATTCCTCTATATACACTATTATCTCACTATTATTTGTACCTTACCTTTTTCTATACCTGCAAAATATCTGATGTCGTCCCTCCATCCCTAAATCAAAAGCGGCTTCTGTGCGTCAATAACGCAGGCAAATGCACTGTGGCACTGCACTCTATGAATCAAATGCCACATTAGTCAGGATCATCGTACCTGTTCGCTGTATTTTGACACTAACGTGCCACAGAACCATCGCTTTAGTACCTACTCACTTTGACGAGTGACTCGAGCATCACACACTAATCCTCAAAAAGACGTAAATTCATGAAGACAAACGACGAACCACTTAAGCATCAACTGTCAAAATCGATGCCTCGTACGTCCACAACGTATTATAAACTCGCATGGTAAATTGATTGTTAACAGCGTTAGAGACTCTCGTCAGTATGGGTATGTACTACTAAATAATCGGCAGAAGCCATCGACTAGAGAGGGCCTACAACTTTCACCACCACCACCACCACCACCACCAGGGATTAATCACTAATGTATTTTCGTTTACCATAAAGATGGTGTGAGATTTTAGCGAACCTAACAAGCAAATTGTATCTCGACATCTTTGCAAGTTTATTGTGTGCCATTTAAGGCCAGTGATATGCTAGTAAAAGGTAAAAAAATAGCAACTAATAGGTAATAAAGGTAAAAATAGCACTACGAAAAATAATGTAGTAGAAGGCTACAAATAGAAAAAAAAAAAAAGCCTAAGAAACAGGTCAGGTATCACCTATTTTTTTTAACTGTATCAAAAAATACCAGCAAGGAACTAGAATATATAATAACACTACCCAGGTAGCTAAAGTGCTAGACAGGGGTTAACCCTTTGCCGCCTAACAGCTTTAGCAAGCATGTTATATCAAAACCAGATATCGTCATTCTCCAGTGAGACAATTGTCATGACAGGCGAATAGCCCTATATATTTGATCAGCTACAGGGTTGTAACCGAACACACAGTTATAGTCAGCCCGCTTAGGTGTTGTCAGAGATGCAAAAAGCCCCCGTCATTGGTTGACTACTACGCGTTCATCGAAATCTCACAGCATGGTGTAGTTTCCTATACCAAAAACAAAAAAAAAATACTTCTAGATGAAGTATTTTTCGATAGCTTTGTTTGGGTTTCTATACATCGTAGTAATATTATGGTTGCAGTGTTGGAACCGAAACAGAATAGCCTAGCAAGCAAATACATGCTCCAAGGTAAACAAATGTTATTCCCCTCTATTGTAGCCGTGCGTTAAAATGTGTCGATTCAAAAGTTCCGTCGGATCAGTTTTCCTAGCAATTAGGATCTATTTCCAGACATTTTTCTGGAAAAGCTGATTTTTAGAGTGGTGAGCTATTCGTTTGTCTCCTCAACCTCCGTGACCACGCGTGTTTATGTTTAGAGAAACGTATGTTTTGCTCCTCCCATCTCTTTTTTTACTCCCTCTCCAGCAAAAGTGCTTAGAAATTCTCTAAAAAGCTATGCATCGAAACAATATCATGCTGATCAATATTGATCGGCATGATATTGTTTATCTTCGAATTTAATATTAAGTTCGAGAAAAAATAAGAGAATGAAGAAACGGGAGACATAATTTCTAAAAAGATAACGCGTTTTTTTGCATTTTATACGCGAGTTATTATTTTCTAACAGTTGAAGCAACAAAATGATTATGCAACCAACTAAACTACCACCATTTGATAAAGAAAAAAGTTTTGAAGCCTTATTTTTGTTTATACGATTCACAGTTTTTTCAGCTTAATTAATTTTCAGTGACGCGACTGATCGGAAGCTTGCGCGATTCGAATTTATCTTTTTTAATTTAGGAAAATTAGGAAAAAGCGTATTCAATTCTTGTAAAACTATGCCAGTAGTGTATGAGATTGAGTTAACGAGTGGGAGTAGCAAAGAATTTGCATATAATTTCTATAAAAAATGTTTATAACACTAAGAAAAATAATCAAAACTTACCTCGGTGTTGGCATGGGTCCTTGAAGATTATCCAACTGACCCCCTTGACCAACAACGGAATGGTGACGTGGAGACGCCGGAAGCTGTTGCTGGTGTTGTTGTTGTTGCTGCTGCTGCTGGGTAGAATGGCTACCAGAGACCGTGGCATGGGTGTGCGTATGCGGAGGCAGGGGTAAAGGGTAGGGGCGGTGCGCCCCCGCCAGGCCCCCAGCTGCAGAGGGGCCCGGCTGCGCGGTGGGCGCCATTAGCGCCACGGCGCCCCCTCCACAAGCTCCAGCCACCCGTTTGTCTAGGTTAGCCCTCCGTGGTCTTCAACTTTAGGCCCCTTTGCAGCGGCCTCTTAAACTATGTTAAACTGTTGCGCCTCTGCACCACGACCACGACCACTACAGCTTTAGTGCGCAGTAGTGCTTGATGGGCAATTGATAGCCTGTAGCAGGACAACACCAGGAGCCTCTTGAATACCACTCGACTTAAAGCACTGCGAGAGGTGTCCAGCACAACACGAGAGTGGCATTCTCCTGAAATAACAGTAGAAAATAGAAGGTAATGCGTTATTCTATTATAATCATTATTATTAATACTTGGCCAGACGTGTTATATTAATGAATTTTTTTAACATCTTCACATGTCACCTGATAAGTTGCCTGCAACAGCCAATCAAAATTCACTAAGAGTCACAAAGGCGTTTGAGCCGTTTTTTAAAATTATCAACGCACATATTTATCAAGAGATTTATCTCAATCAATTAGGTGGATAGAACGACACTAAGAGGAAGTGACCCTTATCCGGTGGTTGTGAGCTCGCTCACACTCGTTTGACGCGTACTTAGTTGATGTACCATTGGCACATTTGCACACCTCAGCATTCTTCCTAATACGCAAGAAGGGGCTGTGGACCGTCAACAACAAGAGAATGCTTGACAGAGAAATACGTACAGGCCCATATGTACTTCAAACTAGAAGCAAACATTCCCGGTACAACATTCGCCGACTAACGTTTCTACCCTTGAAAAATATAGTGAATTTCAATGAGCTTGTTCCGAAAAGAAGAGAGGTAAACGTGAGCTTTCTATAAGCGCGGACTCCCTATCATATGACACTTTCTAGTATCACGTTGGTACCCAATTTTGAATGAATAGACCCAACTTGGAGTCGTTGTCTGCTAACATGCACAATTTTAAACACAAAAATGAACTTACGAGGCTTTAATGCAGATTCTTCTCTAGCGATAATAATCCAAATCTATCTTGTATCTTTTAGGACTGCGAAGACTCATGAACGGAATTATATATAAAGGGTAGAACATCTAAAGGCGGACTTATTCTTACTATTACTCCTAACTGAACAAAAAAAAACAGCTTTCTCAACAGAAAAATTTCCACGTGCTAAAAGTTATTCTTGACGGTTGTACCTGTTTAATATAGCCATTATCCACCGCAAGTACAGCTTTAATTCGGGACCTAAGCCTGTTACTACGAGCCAATTATCACTCCGCAATTAAGTTTCGACTAAGCGTTATAAGTGACACACTATATATAAGCAGAATTAAATTTTGGGCCGATAGCAACTGAAAGTGCAAACGTTCAAAACAGCCAGTAAGTATAAAATGTGCGGAAAGTTTCTAGGACGCTAACGGCTGGAGCTTACCTGGATGACCCGACTGGCAATTGACTTCCGCTCTTCAAAACGTTTTTTTATACAGTTTTTGATAAAAGTTTTTGTACGAAATATATAGCTTAGGCCACTCGGTGAATTTTCTAGTTGAAATGCGGTTTATTTTTTAAAAAATCTTTTTCGAATTTTTAAAAAGTCGCATAAAAGCTAGTAATAATGTAGACTGTTCGTTTCGGGCGAAAAGGTGGAAATTAATAATCTGGGTGAGCTTCCTTTTTGCGTGAACACGTTGAAGGATAGGTGATACTCGCTCGAACCGAAGTACTGGTTCTCATCAGAAGAAGAATTGGCTTTTTTCTGGAACCAAAAAGTAGCAAATGAAGACATTACGGCAAGCTGGACCAGTTTATATTTGTCCAATTTGGAATGTTTGAATACATGCCTGTGTGCTTCCGGCAGATGGCACATAGACTGTTAGAGCTAGTCAGCTGTTAGTTCTTCGCCCACACTAAGATTACATATGTGCAATAAATGTATACTACGCACACTAAAATGTTCAAACGCTTGTGCCAATAGGCTTATTGCCTACATCAAAGGATGACTGTACTGAAGACAATGGCGGAAATAGACCAAAGTCGACATTTTGCCTAATGTGATCCAATTTCAATGGGGTACATGAAACCAAAGTATCATCGTATTTTTACTGCAAGTGACTAATAGCTAGCGATATCAACGACACCAGACATTAAAATTGTGATTTAGAGGTAGCTGCAATAAAAGGAATGATTTGGCATAAGAAACAATTTCGTCCTAGATAAGATAAACCATGTGTGACTTAGTAAAGAAAATATGATACACCAGCGAATAATTAAAACAAATAATCATGTGTTTTTTGTCTGTGCTCGTCAGGCAAGTACGAGAATTTGTTCCCCTAGTAAAAAGATTGTCATAGTCAATAACGACCCAATTAAAATGCTATGATATATAATTCTGATTCAACGGTACAGGCTTGGTCACGCAACGACGTCTTTAGCCCCCTAACAATATTCATATCATCGTCAGAATGTCAAATACATACACAAAATTATTCTTCAAAGCACAGCGCATCGTTTATCGTCTATATATTGAGAAATTAAAGAAAAAAAAAGAAAATATTTAGATTATCGCCGTCATTGGTTAACCAGAGGCCCGCATGCAGAATGTTGCTACTTACAGCTTCTTCATTGAAGAAATAGAGCAGCAATTAGTAACCATTTTGATAACAGTACGATACTACTGTTTAAACAGGTTGCTAAAAGATAAGTGCTACGAGAACAGAAACGCTTACTCAATGTGAAAACATAGCGAAGCACTGAATTTTAAACGCACAAGCCTGAAAAATAAGCGCCTGCGCTCTGGAGCAAGAAATCATTCATTTATAGTCATCATTATTTATTATGATGACAAAATAGTTTACTAGAAAGCGACCAGTCAAACCAGCTGAATATTTTCAATTATGTTTGCGTATTTATGCTACCTTGATTCATATGTATGGCGATATACGGTCTACTTACTACAGTTTCGTCACGGTACCACGGAACAAGCTCTAGAGACTTTCATACAGATGATAGCATGAGTGACGCCCGAAATGAATTTTTCCGTACATATTTTTGTATGGTATGTTGCCGACAATGGGCTACGCGTTCCAATCATCGCTCATATCGTCAAGGCACGCTGCACTAACTTGGCTGTATTTGATAGTAAATTTTAGAAAAATTCAGAGCGAAGTTTACTATCAAATACAGCCTTTTACTGGTAATCGAAATCGTGCCGTGGTACGAAATATCGAAGAACATTTTCAATTACAGGCAACGCCTAACACAAAAGACACCAGCTGAGAAAAATCAAGGGTACATGTTATAGTATCTTTTCTGCGTATTCCGCACGAAACTGGATAACTGGATTTTGAGTATCTATGCGTATCATTTTTAGGAAATACCGCTTTTTTTGTTATAGTTAGCATAGTTATTCGCATGAAGCCCTCAATTTGCTGTAAAATGTATGAGAAATCGTGTCAGATTATTTTCCTAATTAGCAAAGACAAATGCCGCAACACGTTTCCTACGGCAACACTAAATTCTACTTCCCAGGCCTTGCATCGTCCTTACTATTGCAAATTCAGGACACCACTTTCCACCAAAGCGTTGTAATAAATTTCCGGCAACCGTCAGTTGTTTACTTAGCGCGCCGAATAAACAATTTTAACCAACTCACAGTTCTGTTTCCCTACATATTTGCCAGACTTTTTTTTTTTCCAAATAACTAATTGACTGCACACTCGGCACAATGTGCCTATAGTCGAAATATAGCCTATATAATAGAAATTATTATTGTGGTTCAAAGGCCAAGTAGATCCTTTTTTTCACAACTGTTATTGTAAATTGCTGGCTCCCTTCTACAGTCTAACAAATATCGATGTAAATATTAGCAGCAAATACGCTTAGTAGTTATTGAACTAGCTTTCCAATCAGCCACCATCTTCCTCGAACCTTTTATATATTTTAATAATAATCAATGAGAAAGACGATAATTTGTTTGTATTTAAAATGTAGTATACGTCTTGCATAAATGGCACCATATACATTAAATGGTACTTAGCAATAGAAGGTACCGAAGGCTGGTGCTGCTTTGCACCCTTTGGCAATGAAACGCGCTAACCAACTTAGACTAAAACATTTCTAAAAAAAAGAAATAGGAAATCTTTGAGATACCCTTGTCCGAGAGAGCCACATATTCACTTCTCGGTTTTCAATTACTGTTTGCGTATGGGTGGTATTACAGATTCGAAGCTTTAATATCTAACATCGTCTGCACATCCGAACATCGAAGTTCTCAGTATAAGCGGATACGAAGTTGACTACGGCGTTGTTTCATAGAGGCACTGCAGATACTGACATTGAATAGGAGCATTAATAGCTTACCAACCCGAGTAGTACTGGAAGCCCCTCTGCGTCTGAGAGCACTATGTCAATGCACAAAGGATGAAAATATAATCGTTCGCCATTGTTGCTTCTAATGGGCACAACGCCAGTTTATTGATGATAATGTTCAAAAAAAAACAACCGCATATCAATGGCTGAAAGGCTGGGTTTCTTGCCAGCGACGTCAGGGGTCACTGGTCCGAGCTTCATCATGACATGCATCTACGTGATACGAGCGATAAAATACAGACGGCATATCAATGAACCGATACAAGTAGAAAGAAATTGGGTTCCTTATGTGTGGGCATTTATATCTATGAATGATGCCCAGGTTCAGGTCCCTTTCAAAAGACAACAACTTTACAACAATGAAGATCTATTCAAACTACGTAAACACTAAATGTACGTGTCAAAACAGCATGTCTGCAGCCACTAAGCAACAACCTGACTTCTTATAAATAGACCACAACGGCGCTAGAGGAAAGAAAGCATATATTTACGTATGTCCTATGGAAGCGACATTTTGCGCGAAGCGTAACAGTCGACCAATGGCATCTCTTTGCTAATCTTCCTCGCCGTAACGAAGCGACAAGAGGAAGCTTGAACAAGATGCTGATGGGAAGAAACGTCACGCAAATCGGGTAGACGGGCTAAATTAAGCACCCTAACCTGCGGAAACGCTAAATAAATTGTTCATTAGGTATACCTATCATTGGCACGCGTATCGATCGGTGTCATTCATATCACCGACGTCTTTCAAGCAGCTAGCCTTATATGACTTCGAGGATATTTGCGCCATTAAGCCAGCAGAAACATTTGCTACAGGGAATGTACCTACTATGTACGGTTGAATTGGTGGTCACAAAAACTATAAAGCAATTTAGCATTACTAATCGCCCGCATGATCTGTGTTTTCCAGATATATCCATTGTTTCCAACATTGTT